TCTCAACCTCCACGCCGTGCCCATGTCGCCCCTACCGCGCTCTGTTCGTGATGCTTTGTCAGACCCCAATTGGCGCTCTGATATGCAAACTGAGTTTGATGCACTTCTTGCCAATGATACCTGGAGTCTTGTTCCTCGGCCCCCTGGAGTTAATCTGGTGACTGGCAAGTGGATTTATCGTCACAAGCTACTCGCAGATGGCTCACTTGATCGGTATAAGGCTCGCTGGGTTTTGCGGGGTTTTACATAGCGACCAGGTATTGATTATGATGAGACTTTCAGTCCAGTGGTCAAGCCCACGACAGTTCAGGTGGTCCTGTCCTTGGCTCTTGCTCAGCACTAGCCCATACACTAGCTGGATGTCAAGAATGCATTTTTACATGGCACTCTGACGGAGACGGTATACTGTGTACAGCCCACTGGTTTTGTTGACCCGTCACATCCGGATTTTGTCTGTCGGCTCAATAAGTCTCTTTATGGTCTGAAGCGGGCTCCCCGCGCCTGGCACACCAGGTTCGCCACTCATCTCGTGTCTCTCGGTTTTGTTGAGGCCAAGTCCGACACTTCCCTCTTCACATACCACCGGGGATCCGACACCGTCTATCTGTTGTTGTATGTGGATGATATCGTTCTCACTGCCTCGTCAGCTGGATTTCTCCACCATATTATTGCAGCCCTTCAGCGTGAGTTTGCGATGACAGACATGGGTCAACTTCATCACTTTCTGGGCATTTCAGTCTCACATTGCACCGATGGTCTGTTTCTCTCTCAGCGACAGTACACTATTGACATTTTGGAGCGTGCAGGAATGGGCGCGTGCAAACCTTGTAGCACCCCTGTTGACTTGCACTCCAAATTGTCTGCAGATGGTCCTCCTGTTGCCGACTCCACTCAGTACCGCAGCTTGGCCGGTGCACTGCAGTATCTGACGTTCACCCGCCCAGACATTGCCTATGCCGTTCAGCAGATTTGTTTATATATGCATGATCCACGCGAGCCACACCTTGCTGCCCTCAAGCGGATTCTTCGCTACCTACAGGGCACTCTTTCTCTCGGCTTGACTCTATGCCGTTCTTCGCCTACTAAGCTGGTTGTTTACACTGATGCCGACTGGGCTGGCTGTCCCGACACTCGTCGCTCCACATCTGGGTATGCAGTGTTCCTCGGGGACAATTTGGTGTCCTGGTCATCCAAACGTCAGCATACAGTGTCCCGGTCTAGTGTAGAGGCTGAATACCGAGCTGTTGCCAATGGTGTCGCTGAAGCCACCTGGCTGCGCCAGTTGCTCATGGAGCTTCGCCACCCGCCTCGCAGTGCCACTTTGGTTTATTGTGATAACATTAGTGCTGTTTACCTCTCCAGCAACCCCGTACAGCATCAACGGACAAAGCATGTTGAGATTGATCTCCATTTTGTTCGTGAGCGGGTCGCCCTCGGTCACGTTCGGGTACTCCATGTTCCTACGACATCCCAGTACGCCGACGTCTTCACCAAGGGCCTTCCGACCACTGTCTTCCAGGAGTTTCGATCCAGCCTGGACGTTCGTCATGCTCCCAATCAGACTGCGGGGGAGTGTTAGACTAATGTAACTATAGAAGGGATTGTAGCGCATGTGTGGTTAGACTTGCATGCCACCCCCGGGCGTATATGTACTCTTGTACACAATATGGAATACAATCACTAATTTCAATCTTCTCACAGAATGAGGTTTGTTTTTTTGTAAGTTTTTATATGTGTTTTTTTATATTGTTTTGTTTAAATTTACTAGGAGTCCTTCAAAAGAAATGCATTCAAGGAGAAGCTTACAACATATTTCGGAGAGCATTTGCCTTCTGATGTAAGTTTTTTTCTGTTAAGTTTATTATATTTTTTCATATTTCGGGGACCTATTGTCATCTTCTTTTATTTTTTTGTTAAGTTTATTATATTTTTGTATTAGGTTGTTGATGAGTTATGCAACCTTGTTCAAGATAATTCATATGGGAAGTGCCATTACTGTAGTCTGCCAGCAGAAAGCTTAGTGCTCAGTGTTCTACGGATCCTTCATGATGCATCTCAAAACCTGGGGAAGAAAACCCACGGTTCTCAAGTAGCACACAGTAGCCATGCTTGCCATAATGCACCTGTTTGCAACAACCATGATGCTAACTTTAATTCCATGAATAAAAAAGCCCCACCAGCTTCAGGCATGTATAGAAACTTTATGTTGAATATGTTGTGCAATTATGCTTTTTTCTTTTGGATTTTGGGTTGTTGTCATTAATAAGCATTTTAGCATTTTTTTTATTTTTAAATGTTTTCAGACATAGTTCATGAGAAGCCCCCAAGCACAAATGGCGAAAATGGAAAGTATGATGCATCAGATAAAGGTCTCCATCATTCTGCAGATGTGCGTATTTCTGGTTTTTTCTTTTAAGTTATATATTTTTATATTCGAAGGGCGGGCTTAGTGCAAGCGATAGAGTCTTACCGCCTATGACCGGAAGGTCCCGGGTTAGAGTCGCGGTCTCCTCGCATTGCACAGGCGAGGATAAGGCTTGCCACTGACATCCTTCCCCAGACCCCGCATAGAGCGGGAGCTCTCTGCACTGAGTACGCCCTTTTTTATATATTTTTATATTCAAATCATTAATTCATGTGAATCTATTTTTGTTCCATTTCTTGGGTACAATATATACAATGGAATTGAAGCTACTAAAAGCTTTCAGAACCAAGTCAAGGCAAATCATGTTCCTATTGTCGACACACCGGTATTCTTGTTTGGGAGGGAGTTTAGTAGGAATACATTTGTATCATCGCAGCATGGTATTGTATTTCTTTTTTGTGTTTTTCATATGAAATTTGTATTAACTATTATTAGTTTCTAGTATTTGTATTTACTGTGTATTTTTTTAGCTCCAGCAATGCCGATGAATCCCAAATCAAAGCCTAATCATTTCATTAGCGAACTTCATCTACCTGCAGTTCCATTGTTACAAGCTTCAATTCCAAACCCTATCAAAGATGTAAGTTCTGTATAATTAGGTGGGGATCTTTTTTTGATATGTTAAATTAAGCTATTGGTCACGGTTTTTTTGAGCGAAAAATACAGCAGGGAAGGCCCCCACTGTAAACTTTTAATAAAACGAAAAGAGCAACAACAACTCTAAACAAGAGGAAACAAAAAGGGAAGCAAGCCTGAGGTGGGCAGCAGAGCTAAACTAGAGCAGGCTATTGGTCATGGTTGAAATTATATTTTCTTATTTTGAGATTTATATTTCACCTGAGGTCTATATTTTTAAGGAAACAAAATCCAAAGGTCGTTCCTTGGACATGGGAGAATTAGCTGACCAACTGTACAACAAAAAGAATTTGAACATCCGAATGACCAATAACATGACTCATGTAGTTGAAGGTGAAATGTTTCTATAATTGTTTAGTATAGTCTATTTTTCATTTTTAGTTGTGTTTGGTTACAGATTTAGTTCTGTAAATTTTATTTTAGTTTAGTTTTCAGAGTTTTAGTTTAGTGCATAGATTTTGGTTTCAGTTAGTTTAGTTTTTAGATTTTAGGTTCAGTTCTTGTTATTTTTATTTTAGGTTCAGTACCGTAGAATCTTGTTGTTTGCAAGAATCAATCTGAATCTCTATTTCAGTCATAGTTCATTTTTACTTTTTTAGAATCTCGGTTCTTGATTTCAGGTTCATTTTAAGATAGTTTTTGTTCATTTTCATTATTGTAGAATCGAGGTTTTTTTATTTCAGGCTCGTTTGTGGTCCATTTTATTCTATTTTCAGTTTTCATAAAATTAAAATTGTGTGGACTTATGCTGCTTCCATTTCATGTTTATTTTTGGTCTATTTTGTCTAGCTGTGGCTTTTCATTTTCCCTTACGTTTTGTGTATCGTGCATATCATAGTCTCAAGCATCAAAAATCTTCTCGTTGTTTTAATGTGTCTGAAACTGCGCTACTATAAAGTCTTTTGTGGTCTTGCTCACAGCTAATGGAGCTGGTACATAATTTTTTCATTTTTATTTTTGTATATTATTTTTTTGTCTATTTGTCATGTAGGTTTTTATGTGTATCTTTTGTTTTATGTAGCTTTGAGGGTGTTAAGCTATTCAAGACTAGTGTTACATACCAGTGTTTGGGTGAATCAATAGAGCTTTTGGGCCTATTGCCTTTTTGTTGTTTGGGCCTTTTCTTTCTCAATTTTTGGGCCCACAACAGCAAAGCACAGCTGTTAGTTGTTGATCCTGTGATTTTATAAATCGGTTGTTTCATTGGTTTGGAACCACCGTTTTTTCTTTTTTTGTTTTTCCGGTTGTTTTGGGGCTTTGAAACAACCGGTTGCTAGTGAGCCCAAAATCAACCGAATGTTCAGTAGACAGATTCAAAAATTTATATCTGAACTTTTTTCCCTGCGTCTGCGTGCACCTCCGTTCCTTCTTTGTTTGCATATTTTGTTATAGTATTATTAGTTTATTTGTTCTTCATTCTTTCATCGGGAAGAAAAAAATGTTTAAACGGCCAGGTTTTGTCAGATTCAGCAACGAGCATAAATGTGTATGTAAATCGCTTATAGTAGCACAAAACGAGAGAGAAATCTATCGAGACGAGCTCAACCAACCGCCGCCTATAAAGCCTGCGGCGGCGCCTGTAGTTTGTTCATTGTCGCCAAGTAGTCATGTCAAGTACCCCCATTCGATTCCCATATCCCACAGGCGAGACGCGAGAGTGAGGCCAGCGGATAGAGCCATCGATCAGCCATGGCCACCACCGTGAACCCTGACCCGGAGGCGGCGCTCGGCGGCGCGAAGGAGCCGAGGGGGCCAGCAAGGTCGCTGCTTGCGCTCGCGCGCGACAACCTGGCGTTCCAGTCGGTGTGGCCGGAGCTGAACGATCGTGCTGTCGCTGGCACTGGCCCGGCACCTGGACCTCGGCACCACGCTCGTCTTCACGGGCATCTACGACGCCGTCACGGGGCTCATCTACGGCGTGCCCATGCCCGTGCAGCCGATGAAGGCGATCGCCGCCACCGCGCTGTCCGACGCGTCGTTCGGCGTCGCCGAGATCATGGCCGCCGGCATCCTCACCGCCGCCTTCGTCCTCCTCCTCGGCGCCACGCGGCTCATGCAGCTCGTCTACTGGGTCGTCCCGCTCCCCGTCGTGCGCGGCATCCAGCTCGCGCAGGGGCTCAACTTCGCCATGGCCGCGGTCAAGTACATCCGCTACGAGCAGGATCTCGGAAAGGGCAAATCCTTGGGCCGCCGACCCTGGTCGTGCGTTTGTAAATTGTGAGCTGTTATTATCTGCGTGCGTGTGTGTGCATACATTCCCCAGTCTGCTACTCGTTGACCGGGCAAAATGTCAACTTGAGTAAATAATGTTAGCAAAACAACTCGTCAGACCAGTTCGTTCAGAAATGTCTAGTCGTCCACTGCATCTGCTTCTTATACAACCTTGTTCCGCTGCATTGTCCTCTCTACGTACATAGCTTCACCATGATTCCATGAACAAGGAAATCGTCAGCTTTGCTCGCCATCCCAGCACCATGGCTATAGGCTATAGCGGCTAGAGTGAACTGCCGCTAGGATATCACTCCTTATGGCGCGCTATTGCAGCTACGTGCGCTATCGCGGCGTTTAGCGTTTAGCGCCGCTATTTTCCCAATCGATGTCCATGGATCAAAATCGAAGCCCCATGTTTTCTGGTCAACCAGTGTCTAAAATAGCAGTTGGCTGATGAAAATCAGCGGTGGCGGTGGAGGCGGCGGCGGCGGCTGCTTCGCCCAAGCCTGCGACCGGCGGCCGCTTGCGTCCTGGCTGAGCGCGACGTGGTTCGCCGGGCCTGCGGCCAGTTGAGTTGCTTTCTATAGCTTCATCCACCAAAAAAAGATGAAATGGCTAAAACTAACAAAACATGTGCCGTTTTTTTCTGCAGCACAGCGACTCGCCAATTGGCATGTTGATCGCAAGGTATTAAGATAAGAAAATTAACTACACTGATTTGGTGGATGAAGAAACCTTTATCAATATTCAAAATGCCCCCTTTCGCCAAATACTGGAATCAGCTATTTAAAAAAATTAGCCAGAAAATGGCATAATTCCCATTCAGCTGCTGCGTTCCATAAATTGGGAAACGCTTCCCGTTCGTCTGCAGTCAGACTGTCAGAGGAAAAGGTCCAGGCTTCCAACCCAGTCTAGAGCAGACAACTGACTCCAACCAAACAGCCCACAGTGCCAAACCAAAGCAGTGATGAACTGATGAGCTTCCACCCGCCGGCAAACAAAGCAATCACCAAGATCACACGCGCCTGCCTCAGTAACATCACATTCATTTCCGTGAATCGCATCTTTATTTGTTTTACATTGTTCACAAACCGGTACATTCGAGCCACATTACAAATGGAGAACAAGATGCTAGTCCCTGAAGTTACCATGCAACTAGACAACACAATCGCCCGTAGTCTTCGAGTTCAATCAAACATAGTTTACAAGTTAAAGCCCGGTTTACTCTTTCTTTGGTGGGATGTGGTTGCCGCCGGTTGCAATTTTGAACAGATAAAACGCGGACATCACGGCACTACAAGGAAAATTTACAAGTTAGTTCCGTGAAGCTATTTTCTATTTGCACACAAGAGGAAAACAGGTAGGCAGTGCATGATAATCCAGTGATGCTTCCGAAGTGTCGAAACTGATGTTTACCTGAGACCAGCGACGACACCAGCTGGCATAATCTTCAAAGTCTCAAGGAATCTTTGCCCCATAACGTAAGTTAAGGCTAATGCACAAACTGTTTAACAAAATTTGCAGTCAGTACCAAGAAAGCAACAAAGAAATTGCAGGCAGGAGAAAGGTATCTCATAAATTGTTTTGCACCCAGCAGTTCATGTTTAGCATAAAGAACACAATGCTTTTGATGTTTATTCAGTCTACAGGAAACAACAGAACTGTCGAAACTGCTACCTTTTTGTGGTCTCCTAATAATTAGCACGTTCTGCCTAAAATATTTGAACACTAACAAGATCTACCATAACAGCTCTGGTGGTAATGTAGTGATGTTGTTGTTAATGGTTTAAATCCTCATCAAATGTGATGGCAGGGCCGCAGGGGCATAATCAAATGATGTGGCTCTCTCCTCTCATGAGCCTTATTCCGTAGTCAGCTTTAACAGAGATTCGAGATATGGAAAATCTTATCCAGGGTTCCATATTCATTGTGATCCCACCCTAGACAAGGATTTTGGAAACCCCAAATTTAAACTTTACAAGTAATTCTTCAAACTTCTCAAGGGAGTGCATTTCTTGGAATAAATCACTAAGGTTTATGAAAAGATGAAAGAACGCAAGAAGCCATTCCATCACTACATTGCAAACAGATGAAAGAACTAAGTTCTCCATCAGAATTTCCTAAACAAATAGTTTAGAACTCAAGATCAAAATGCTCACACAAATATCTTGACAAAAACAAGCACAAATTAATAGGGTTTTGAGCGTAAATTTGTTGACGTCCATGCAAATTTAGTGTATAGAAGTTGTGAAGTCCTGACAAGCTGTTAGTGTGCCAATAGAACTGGAATGGAGAGCCCACCATAGAAGAAGGGACAGTTCCCACTCCACATTATAGCTGGTGTACTCTTAGGACTGAAAACCAAGGTGATTGAGCTGTCGAAAGCTAAAATGGAAATGAAATGCTATTGAATGCATATTGAGTAAAGGCATCTAAACAAATCCAACAATTTTCCCCAGTTTGGATCACATATCCCCACCCCCTAATTCCTTTAGTATATGTATTGTTTTGGTTCCTACATGTTCCTGAAAAGAAATCCTTGGGTCTGCTACATTCCAAACAGCCCTAATTCCTGGATATGCAGAAAAGGATTGGGTTGCCCGGTACTGGATTGTGTCTACTACTACAAGGGTACATGTACAGACCTATGCATATTCAAACAAGACTGCTGCAACCTTACATGTACTGGGTATTCTCATGCCTCTCTATCCTCCCCTATTTTTGCTAGGTGACTGTGATGACTTGCCCCCACAAGCGCCTCATCGCCTAGGTAAAGGCTGGGCAACACCTTAAGAACTATGGTGTCTACTACTACAAGAGTACATGACAGAGTGCAGACTTATGCCTATTCCCACCACAACTAGCAAGACCATTTGTCTTGATGTTTCAGATGCTCACCAAAGTAGTCATTAACCAGCCATTACGAACTTTGAGTTAAAAATATCAAATTCATTAATCATCAACACACAACTTGGATGACTTTCCATCAAATTTGGTATTTTTAACTCAAATTTACCAGTACAAAGTAAATATTAATATCTTATCCCATATCTGGGAGCCAATCAGGTTCAGAAATTAGGAGCCTGATTTGATATACTAATAGATGTATGATCTGATACAGGAGGCATCAAAAGCAATTAATTTACCCACAAAAAGGGTCGAGGAATCCAATGACCATTAAGCTGGCATTGATATGGCATAACCTACTGCAGTCAAATGCGCTGAGCATAGTTCTGAGCAAACACCCCGTAACAGTAAAACAGTATGGAAGGATTTTGGTAGCTATGAAAAAAAACGGCTCTGATATGATATCTTAGCAAACTAGTGCCCTCCTCATGCCTTGTACTCATGTCCCACATGAGGCAACATGCAAGAGGTTCCGACAGCGAGCAATACAAGCCACACTGATGAAGAGGTTATGGCACTGGAACTAGTGCGTGTTCCATAGGTTCAACACACTGCGGCATTTCTAAATGGTTAGAACTTTGAATGGGCAAACTCGGATATGAAATGCTGCCCTATTTGATACGGAGTATTCCCAAACACAGGAAGTTCGTTAGAAACGAGGAGAATCCTGAACTCAACCAAATCAAATTACTACGCACCGCTCTCGCAGGACATCCCGTCGCAAATTTTAGCATATAGATGGACTACGTTGCATGACAAATTGCATCTCATAGATCCCACAATTCCAGCCCATTTCCGATGATCCAGGCGGCGATCAACACCTAGCCCGGCTACAAATCCCGTTTCTAAATGAAATGAAAGGAGAAAAGAATGAGGGGGGGTTGGGGTTGTACGCGTCTCGAGCGCAAGGGCGACGTAGGAGTTGCGGCGCTTCTCGAAGGCCTTGAAGCTGACGAAGCCCGCGAGGAGGAGTAGCGCGCCGGCCCCGGCGCCCCCCGCCAGGGAAGCGGTGCTGCCGCGGCGGAGGTAGCCCAGCACGCCGCCGGCCAGCACGGCGAACCCGTAGGGGATGGTGAAGCAGAAATCGTGCATCTTGGGGAATGGGTGGGAGCTCTCCCAGATCTCGCGGCGAGCCTTCTCTCCCTCGTCGCGCTTTCTTCTTTTGGTTTGTTCCTACGGATCGGAGGGGAGGCGGGAGGAGAGAGACGAGAAAGTCGTCGTCGACCAGTTGCGGTGTGCGCGTGGCTTCCTGTGGCCTTTTGAAGACGGGGACGGAGGGGCAGTTTCGTCATTTCCGGAGGGCAGTGGCCAGAAAAGCGTGCCCGCCACTCGCTCGCTACTACCCCAGTCATCAGCAGCACACCCGGAACGAAATTTTTTTAAAAAAATGTAACGTTCACATGGCAACTCGGACTTCATTGTTCCGGACCCTATCAAACTGCGATTCCATCCGAGTTTCGTGGGAATTTCATAAGGAACAGTAGGAGTCAATAAAAAAATGTCACTAATTTTTTAAGTTCTAGACCTCAATTCGATTGGCATAGCCCTGCTTGCTTCCATTCATTATTATTATTAGAGTTTAATACACGGGTGGTCCTTAAACTTGTGACCCTTTGTAGCCTAGGTCTACGAACTCTCAGAACCGATATCTGCCCCCCTAAACTTATTAAGTCATGCACTACAGGTCCATATTCTTCGAGAGGTGCTTACTAAAATAATTTTTTTTGCAAAAACCACCTTGCCATAGTTATCTTCTACATCATCCTTGCTCAGGCTGTGCGCACTGCGAGGGATGGTGAAGCTGCAAGCGATGCTGAGGGGCCAGCTAGTGCGACGGCAAGCCAACCTGATACTCCGGCGAATGCAGGCGCTCGTCCAGGGCTCATGCTGAGGAGAACGACGTCAGGATCGTTGAGGTGGACGACGGCCCGCCGAGGGTGGGCGCGCCGCGCAGTGGCAGCTGTTGTCCCTACTCAGACGTCGATGCTGCCGAGCCACATGCCGGCGAAGTCCGAGCTGTGCCACAATGTCTCACCGATGTCGTCGTCGCTGACAGACGCGAGCGTGCGGACGCTGAGCGGCCGGTTCGACGACGCGTCCTTCACCTCCGCGTCCGAGGCGATGCCGATGCCAAGCTGGCTCAAGACGTGGCGCACGGACCTACCGTTCTTCCCGAGCTACGTGACCAACATGGCAACATGGAGTCGTCTTGCGCGGAGGGCGGGCGCGCGACGCAGCAGCAGCTGCCACTACTCGATGTCAACGACGTCTTGCTGCATGGAGAGACGAAGTCCGAGCTGTGCCACAATGTCTCGCCGACGCCATCGTTGCTGACGGACGCGAGCACGCTGACGCTAAGCGGCCGGTTCGACGACGCGTCCTTCACCACCTCTGTCAGTCTTGGCGAGTGAGAGACTGAATTGGTCATGAGATCGGGCCTTTACAATTTACATCAAGGAGAAGGGCAAAAGGCAGATGTTCATCGCGATAGGCTCTGCCGTCGACGAGACGATCAGGAACCACATGGCGTGGTTGCCGGACAAGACCGACAATGTCAATGGCGTGTACCATCACCTCAAGGACTGCAAGCTCGCTGTCCCCACGGACAAGCTGAGGTACGTCACTCACTCACGTCCCAACAAGCAGTAAGCAGAAGCAGCATTTCAAGGATATACGTGGTATGACGAGGCGAACACGTTGGCGTTTGAGCTTCATTCGTTCAGGCTCTTGAATAAGGCATGCTTGCTCCATGGCACCAAGGAGGACGCGCCCTGCAATGGCTCGGACGCGGCGACGTCGAGTAGCACGACCACCACGGGAAGAGGCTGTGCACGGTGCACCAGGTGGAGCAGCTCAAGTCGGCGATCCGCGTCCTGGACATGAACCAGATGGACCAGTTGGAGCAGCTTCGCAGAAAGTTGCGCCGTTGTAAGTATCTACACGTAAAGCTGCAAAGAAAATGAGGAAAAATTGGTACCAAACCGGTGTAGACCAGCTCAAACACAGGTTGTGGACGCTCCACTAGACACATCCGACCATCGAGGCAACAACTCCACGTTTTAAATTTGGATTAACTCGTTATGCCCTAGCCTCACTACTTTGACTTTGACAGCATAAATCAGAGTAAGGGTAAAAAAAAAGTACGCAGAGACTGACTTCTTCTACACAGAGCTGCCTGACTTCTTCTACATGTCGCTGTTGTACACCAACACTGCCATTGCGACCTCCAGCTGATGATGAAGGTAGAAGATAACTGTGGTAGGACGGTTTTTGTAAAAAAAAATATCATAGTCAGCATCCCCTCAAAGGGTATGGGTCTGCGGTGCATGACTTAATAAGTTTAGGAGTCCAAATTTCGGTTTCGAGAGTTCGTGGACCTAAGTGACACAGAGCCACAAGTTCAAGGCCCACCAGTGTATTTAACTCTTATTATTATTATGTGCTAGCATAGGTATAACTTGAGACTGAAATCGACATAGCTCTGTTCTACTGCAACTACTTCAGCATTACTTTTCAACGAAGAAACAACGTTTTCCTCTCATAACAAATCAGCATAAGCATCAGTATAAGCCAAATTTCAGCAAAACGAACAACACACACAAAGAAAATATTTATTATATGTAGCGAAACTTCAGCAAGTTTTGATCAGTATAAAATCCTCTATTTTGAAGCTTTGTGATTCTTCTAAACATTTATTATATGTAGCAATAGATACATAGAAAATACAAAACATTGCATGATTGTATCAGGGGAAGTGGGTCCAAAACTTGCTACTCAACTAACTTGTACTTCCTATGTTCCTTATTAACTGTCGCTACGGGAAGAGTATTGGTCAAACTTTATTAAGTTTAATTAGATTTATAGAAAATATTAGCAGTATTTGTATCTCCAAATAAATTTATTATGAAAATAGATTCAATGATCTATCTAATGATACTAATTATGTATGATAAATATTAGTATTTTTCTTATACATGTTTGGTCAAAGTTGAGTATGTTTGATTTATTGGGAATCGGGAACGACAATTAGAAAGGAATGGAGGGTGTAGTGCTCTAGCCTCACTCCTCTCCTCCTATGAGTTTTATTTTCATGTATGTCTAAATACTTAAGTGCAAGTTGTACTATCTGAACTTTAGCACAAACTGAAAACCATACATATATTGTACGCAAGTTAGAACTACACATATACATAAATACACATACGCAACTGAGAGATACTCAAATATCAACAAACTCCAAGCATGATAGCCACGACATTTTAACCATTGTAAGTATCTACACGTAAAGCTGCAAAGAAAATGAGGAAAAATTGGTACCAAACCGGTGTAGACTAGCTCAAACACAGGTTGTGGACGCTCCACTAGACACATCCGACCATCGAGGCAACAGCTCCAAGTTTTAAATTTGGACTAACTCGTTATGCCCTAGCCTCGCTACTTTGACTTTAGAGAGTGTTCGGCTGGCCTAATAAGCTAGCTTATTTGCTGGCTTATAAGCTACGGTATAATATTTTTCTCTCTAAAAAAACAGCCATATAAATCAGCACTAGCGGCTTTTCGACCAGCCGAACACTCCCATTGACAGCATAAATCAGAGTAAGGGTAAAAAAAAAGTACGCAGAGATTGAGGAGAGAGAGCGCCTTGTAGTGAGATGGAAATCATTAACAAAGCAAATAAAATATCATCATTGTTAATGTCTTAACTTGAGTTGATTTTGAATGTATTTATATTTACGGAGAAGAGAGACTAGATTAAAATTATATTGAGTTCAAATCCCGACTTTCAAACAGGTCTTAATAAAAGTTGTGCATAGAGACTATGCCAAACGAACATGGTTTTATATCTTGCTACCTATCTAAACATGCCAAATTACAAATCCATTTTTTACTCTTGAAAACAGGGGAAAAAGAGGAAACTCGTTTCTATTTTTTGGGAGAATTCAAAGTTCCAAATATGAGGGTCAAATTATAAAAGTATACTTTTTCATTACTTTTAAAATCTTGTCATTGCATCCCCTCCATGTCCGATCCAAAACATTTTGAGAGAATTCCATGTGAGTCATTAAAAAAGTTCTCAATTCCCTATCAACCACCGAAAAAATTACAACGTCATATGAGCCACCGCTCTAAATTTTTAGAGCCCTACGTGCCACTACCGTTAGCTGCGGGATGAACTACAGCTAACCGAAGTTTAAAATGTCCTTTTTGCCCCTCTTACAGGTGGGCCCCAGGCATCGGCTTCTTCTTCCTCACTCCATGGCCATGGAAGCTAGCTGCACTACTGTTGCTCGTGCGCGGAGGAGAAGGGAGCTCTGCCAAGCCGGCGGTCGGCTGGCAGCGGCACACGACACGGCACGGGCCCTCCTCCGCCCATCACCACTATCTATGCCAGAAGCGCCGCCGCCTCGCCCGGCGACGGGACGCAGCGCGCGGCCTTGGTGGCGCACGCTCTGCGCCACTGGCAGCGACATCACGGAGCCGACAACCATCCGATGCGGCTTGGAGTCTTGGCGTCGACATCGAGCCGGGGTTGAGCCTCGCCTCGTCTGCTTTGCGCAATCGGACGACGACCAGACGAAAGCAGATCGACACGGCGGTGAAATTGTTGATGGTGGGCAGGCCCAAGATCTAGGGGGGCGGTGGCCGGCGGCGTGGGGGTCGTGCGGGGTGCCGCACTACTTCTCCTGCCGCGGATGTTCCTGTGGCCGGCGTGCTTTTTTTCTTATTCTTCTTCTCCGGTGAGCAACATCCATGGCCGGTGAGCCTTTTCTTTCTCTCCTTCACTCCCGCGCACCCTGACCCTTGCCCTAGTGCTGCCACGGGCGGGGCCCACACGCGCCCCACCCCCGCGCCCCCGCGCGCGGCGCCCCCTGTGGGCAACGCTCGGGTGGACGACACTTCGAGATGGAGGAGATGCGCAACGGAGCCTGCTGTCGTGCGGGCAGGTGCTGGCGTGCTCCTACGCGTTCACCTACTACATGTTCAACGCCGAGGCCACGCCGACACGGCAGCAGGAGCCGGGGAGCCTGTCGGATACCATAAAAAGGGGTACCCTAAGCAAGAACCGAAAAGATTGCTTAGAACCTCGCAAATATCAAAGCCAAAGGACAATCATAGGGTCTCGGCCGATTCTCCGACTCACCCGAAGCCCGCGTCGCAACGACTCACCGCCTCGCTGAGACTCCCTTGCCGAGGCCCTCTCGTGCCGAGGCCCCGCTCCACAAGGCCTTGGACGGGTTACCGATTATCCGATTCGCCCGAGGCCCCGCGAGTGAAGCCTCGGACGAAGTACCGATTCTCCGACTCGCTCGAGGCCGGCTCGGCAACAACCTCGTCGCCTCCGTCTCGACCGACTTCTTCGACAAAACGTCACGCGTCCAACCACTCCCGCGACGTCGGCCCAAGACGTGGACGCAAAGATGCGAGGTGGCCGACGGGGACGTGAGACGAGGACAAAAGCGGGGTTACTAGCCATCGTGTGTTTCGAAGATCGCACCCATGCTGGCGCGTCCGATCGCGATTGTGTTACCTAATTCTCTCGGAGGCGAGCAAAGACGGCGTGGGGAAGCGAGCACGGGTTATCAGAGGCTCGGAATCGGTGCATGAGACCAACTGCTCCCTCCAAGGCCTCGGCAATCCACTTCCAGGTCTCGGCAGCCTCGGGATTCGCGCCCACCGAGCCCCCCACGATGGCTCGGCCTCGGCACCAACTGAGCCTCGGCTCTTTTCACCGTCAACCCATAGCCTACGTCAAGCTGTCACTAGAGCGCCCACGTCATACGAAATCGGGTGTGACCGGCGCGTTGCTCCAGTACATCAAGGACAAGACCACTCCATTGACCATGCCGCTACAGTAGTAAGCTACAGGACTCCAGCACGCCACCTCCGCTCGCCGCATGGCGAACACCTCTATCACCCATGTCCCTCCTTCAACTATAAAAGGGGAGATCGGGGCCGTTCTTATGCGGGGGGGGGGGGAAACTCACGAACTCACGGAGATAGACTCACGTAGACACACACTCTCCCAAGCTGCCTGAGAGCAACGTCTCAAGCAGCCCGCACCGTTCCACGCCGAGACCTGGGACTAACTCCCTCTCTCACCCAGCTTGTAACCCCCTACTACAAGCACTTCGGTGCAAGGAATACAAGATCGATCTCTCAGACTGGACGTAGGGCACCAATTGCCTGAACCAGTATAAACCTTGTGTCTCTTTGCATCACCATCCGAGATTAGGGGCACGCAGTTCATATTCACTAGTTGGTTGAGGACCTCCGGTCTGAAACACCGACAGAGCCTATCCATGGCACAAAAGCGCGAGCTCCCTTCTCCGCGCGCGAGCAACAGCAGTGCAGCTAGCTTCCATGGCCATGGAATGAGGAAGAAGAAGCTGACGCCTAGGGCCCACCTATAAAAGGGGCAAAAAGGACATTTTAAACTTATGTGTGCTGTAGTTCATCCCGCAGCTAACGGTAGTGGAACGTAAGGCTCAAAAAATTTAGAGCGGTGGCTCATATGATATTGTAACTTTTTCGATGGTTGATAGGGAATTGAGAACTTTTTTTTAATGGCCGTCTCTCAAACATTTTCGAATCGATGGAGAAAAAAACTTCCTCCAAACCCTAAAGGCCTAAAGGCCTAAACTCGGCCGAACCCCACAGGCCGTCAGACAGGCCCCCAACCAACCGTCCAACCTCTCACCCGGCGGCCCCCAGTCCCCTGCAGTCCACCCATGGCGGCGGCGAGCCAGAGCGATGCGCCTCACCGGGAGCCCGGGCAACGCCGTCCCATGTGCGGCGTCTGCACGAAGCCCCTCCGTCTCTGCCTCTGCGGCCGCCTCCTCTCCCCGCCGGTGGACAACGCCGTCGGAGTCACCGTCCTGCAGCACGCGATGGAGGCCCACCACCCGCTCAACTCCACGCGCGTGGCGCGCCTCGGCCTCCGCAACCTCGCCGTCGTTCAGGTCACCGACGTCAACCACCGCGCCCGCTTCATCCTCACCACGCTTGAGGCCGGCGGCGGCGCGGCGGCGTCGGGTCTTGCAGGCGGTCCTGTGGCTGCTCATTTTGGAAACCATGATCGGTCTGACGGGCCTGAGGAGATCGACTTGCAGAATGGCGGTGGCCCTGCGTTTCCTCGTGATGGGATTTGCGCCAAATCAGATCGAAAAGATAATGCGAGCTGTGATTTTGACGGGTCCGGATTGAATGCCTGTGGTTATCTGGGCGCTGAAGACATCAGTTTTGGTGATTCTTGTGAAAGGTTGGATCGTGGGGACCTCAATGGTGGGATCTTCTGCAATCTTGCTGGAGAGGTTGGTTCTCTTAGTTGTGCCAGATTCATCAAGAAGACGAAGAGTGATGGACAGTCTGCAGCAGGTCTTGAAAGGCCTAGCTCTGCAGCAAACCAGATAGAGAACTCTGTTGATGACTCAACTATAGGTGAAAGCAACCATAGAAGCGAGGTGGGGTTGACGAATAAGGTAAATGGTAAGTTGTCTAATTCTGTAGTAGCAAATGACTCAGACTCAGGAGAAGTTAATGGGATGGTTAATGACTGGAACGGTATGGAAGAAGAAATAGATGAAGCTAGTGCTGCTATTGGACAGGATTGGACCAGGAAAAACATGGATAAGTGCACTATTGCATACACAGAGAAGGTACTAAGGATTGATATTGAACGCGGAGTGAAACCCAAAATCAGATGATTATCAAGAGGCCCGCTTGGTGAAGCAGCTGTCTCAAATGGCTTTCTTGTCACAAAGATACAGATGAAGAAGTGTAAACTCACTGGAGAAGTTACAGTGTTTGAGGAATTCTCAATCACCATACCGCCAAAATCTGCTTTGCTATTTCCGTGCCAGCGGGCAATCAGCATTGATGCTTCAGGTTGTCAGGTACAGCATTTGATTGTGTTGGATGGCACTTGGGCAAAAGCACAGAGGATGTACCATGAGAATCCATGGTTGCAACTTCTGCCATACGTGAAGCTGGAGTCAGATAGGGTTAGCTTGTATAGTGAGGTGAGGCATGAGCCAAGGGCTGGGTGCTTGTCTACCATTGAGAGTATAGTTGTTGCCATGAGGAAACTGGGAGAAGATTCAAAGGGATTGGATGATTTCTTGGATGTTTTTGAGTCGATGATTGCTGATCAGCGGCGATGCAGGGATGAGAATGTCAAGCAAAAGCTGAAGTCCTAATCATAAAAAAGTCTTATCATCATCAGTCTGTTGTCTAACTTCATGATGACCTCTGGATGCATTTTTCAGTCCAGATGACATATATACGTTACTTCATACTGAGAATTTTTTAATGCCAAAACTTCATAGTTAGATGGTGTTTTCCATTTAAGCTTTATCTCATTTTCTGGTTAGGGCAGAGCATATCATTGTCGGTTTCACCTTCTGTGATCAGATCTGACTCTTTTCTCATTATTGCTAAGCTCTCAACACAACTATTTTGTAGACTTGGACCTATGGTAATCATTTTGAATGGGATGATGATACATCAGATATGTGATACAGCACTGCATTGCTTCTGCTCCTATTCTCCTATTCTTCTTAAAAAACTGCTTACAATAAACTATTTAGTTGACCCCCTTCACTGATCTTGGGCCAGTTATAATTTTCATGCCATTTCCAATGTTCCATGCCATGAAGTTTGCTACAACAAATTAAAAACTGAGTTGCTGAGAATTTTTTTTATTGTCATGGGAATGCCTATTTTTCTTTCTGCCATTGAAATTTTGTGCGTCTCATTCTGTCAACTCTCAGTCTGCTTCCACCATTTTTGACTAAGTAAAGATTTTCCCCCCTTAAAATTATCATGACGAGTATGCTGCTGGAGGTCCTTGAGAATTGAGATCCTGGTTTCTAATTAGCCTCCTTGCACAATAAGCAGGTAAGTCTGCCTAGAAAATTCCTTTCCCCAGACTCCATGTTATGTTGGAGCTTCCGGCATTGGATATGTTATGCCTTTTGTTTAATAATTATCATGAACAATGGAAATATTATGAAACATGAATTGCATAAAAAATGCAGGATTTGTGTATTTCTGTTTTCGTATGAACAATGGAAATACTATCAAACATGAATTGCATAAAAAATGCAAGATCTGTGTATTTCTGTTTTCCTATAGACGGTGTGCGATGTACACCTTTCTTTTTTTTGAGATGAAAGAAGTTATAGTCTTGTTTTTGCAAATAACAGAAGTTAACTCTAATTCCCTCTCTATGTGTGCTATGTCCTATTGGTCAAGTTTACACTCTGTGTTTAAGCCCATTCGTTTATCAGATCCTCATTTCACAGCTCTTCCTACAGTTACATTTTTTTTCCTGCATGGTGTTCAGTTGTTTCCCTTGATGTTATGGTATTGCAGTGCTCATCAGATAAAATAAATGAGTGTCCTGGTTTATGTCCTGAATAAGCCCTTGGTCCTGAACAAGCTAACTCTGACTTACTGCTTACTCAGGTTCAACTCCAATTTCGTTTCATTTTTACTGTTACCATAAGCAACCACTTGCACGGCCATATCTGGGTTGGCCTGGCTGTTTCTCATTCCAGTTTTTTCTGCATTTGCCGAGAGGGTCCTTTTTTTACCTTAAAGAAAACATGTCGGTTGTATCAGTTGGACTTGGTAGAATCATAATATTCACTTGCTGGGTTTCTTTCTCACATAGAAGAGCTGATTGGCTTTTAGCTGCCTACCATTGGCCTATTATTCAATACAAATGGTGAGATACCACCTGGATATATTTTTACTCCTGCTAGCACAAACTGTGTGTAGATTTTTTTAAAGGTTCTTTTTTGCTAAATGGTAACCCCTTCAGTTTTTCCTGTGGTAACATTTTCTTAGGCAGTGGAACACGCTACTGTGGCCAAACGTCAGGTGATTAGCACAGAGGTGTCACCTTTTTAGTGGGGACACTTCCTAGTATGGCTGTATGAGGTTTCTGCAACTCTACCATTGAATCTTTACATAAATGCTCTGTAATTGCATTGCATGTAATATCTGAGCATGGTGGAAGTTGTATCTTTCATTTCGCTGGCCGTCGTAAGAGCGGTTGGAAGGAATGAGAGGATGGCATAATGATGCCAACAAGATATTTGGGTAAGAGATCATGGTTTATAGGGTGGTTGTCTGTCTATTTTTTTTTAGTTTTAGTTATTGTTCCGCTCTAGTGCCAGTTTTGGTCCCAGTTTCAGTTCTATAAATGGCTGGATAGCTTGTCGCAGCTCAATTAGTAATTTGACTGTTTTTTCTTAAAAAAACATTTTAGTTGTTTTTTTTTTTGATAGGATTTAGTTGTTTTTAGCTTGTCTACAAATCCAATATTCTAAAAGCACTTTTGCAACTGAATTCAATTATACTGCTTTGAAAAGTTCAATCATTTGAAGGAATTATGAACATGGGACAATGATCATGTTGGCTCTTTGCATCCTAAGATAATGATTGGTTGTTTGCATTAGTCTTGGTCTGCATTAGACCTTGTGCAGTACAACCTAAGCCAGCACGAATGTCTTTGGTGTTTAGTTGTTCTATCTAGATGTTGTGTTTTATGTATTCGCCTCCATGTTTTAATAGAGGTCTCATGCTTTTACTAGAGGTATGGGCGTATGGCAAATGAGAATATTTCTTTTTTGTATAATTCATGTTTTGAGCACTGTGTAAGTTTGCGTAACAACCTCTACAAGGAACCAAATGGGCAAAATATAATGCACCAGTCTGGATAAATGTTAATGCAGGTAACCAAACAAGCCATACGGAGCCTGTATGTAATTAGTGAGTATCACTTTGCAATTGTAGGAATGTTTTGTTTCTCCACCAGTTGCTACAGTTAAACTATATTCACGTTTTTCCTGTTTCAAAATATCCATAAGTATTCAGTTTGAACAGGTTCAGCAACAGGTCATGGATAAATATCCATACGTATTCAGTTTGAACAGCAAACTCTTTTCTGTTCCAGTGCAATGAATTAGGTGGTAAATACTTTTTCCACCCCAATCTCTAAACAAATTCCAAAATAACGAAAAAGTCGCAGATCCCAAATTGTGGTCAGAAGTTGAAGCACATGCAACTTGACGTTTTTTCTTCCCGAACGCATTCATCTTCGCGCTTAAATTTTCTATACACGTGCATCGCCACGTTCAATCGTCGATGACAGTAACTTTAAAATTAAATTTTCGTTTCAAACACTTCGTGTACCGTTACATCTGGGAAAAAGTTATCGTGGCTTTTAGGCATGACTACTTGCTACATTACAAAAGTATTCCATGGCTTACATAAGGTCGTTTTGGTTGTGCCTACATTAAACTTCTCCTTTTGATAAAATCTACACAGAAAAAAAAACACCACCATCTATAACATTAAATTAGTTTTATAAAATCCATCATAAAATATAATACACTGTGATAGTGCATTTACTTAGAACGGTAGATGTCGACATACGTATTTTTCTATGAGTTTAGTGGAAGTATGAAAATCTTGACTTATAAATAAAACTAGTACCTATATGTATATGTTTCAGAAAGAGGCAGTAACATTTAACAACGATTTTCTTTTGAGAAATGGTGTAATATGTTAGGAGTGTTAGAGAAACTCCAAGAGACTTATTCTTCCTAATTGTTAGGAATAAAGATTTTAGTAAAAAGATTATATTCCAACAGCTCTTTAATTAGATTTTTTTAATATAGTCATCTTCTATTCTAGATTTCTCGCTAGCTAAAGAACGAGAATGACTATTTAAAGTGTGCAGAAGATTTCCCTGGGGAAGTTGAACCGATTCAGCCTCACGCCCTCACGGAATTGATTTTGACGGGTGGCTGGTTCATATGGTGGGAGCGTAGGAAGTTTATCCCTGGAGAATCTATCCAGTAGACGGCGCGATCAGCCTTATCGATTGCTTGTCTAACGATAAATTATCAAAGAGCTATGAGGAAGACCGTCAGACGGAGGGAGAGATGGAAGAAACCACCGGAAGGGAAGCTTCTGATGAATATTGATGGCACTTTCAGACTTTCAGAGAGGGACAAGGTAATGGAGGAACATGAGTCGTCATCAGAGACTCCAATGGTTCGTTTATCACAGATCATGCTCTTATTTGGAACATGGGGTGGATGCCTCAATATCGGAGAAAATGGTTCTCAAAGAGGGACTCCTGCTAGCTCAACGAATTGGTTGCAATGACCTCATCATATATTCAGACTGCTTGAGGTCTTGGAAACCATGAGACGGGGGTTTTCGTCTTCAGCAGGTGCTCTAATTTATGATGATTGTTTCTCACTGTTGCAGGGGTTCGTCGTTGTTTGTATTTGGGTCAATGAACCCCTAGCTTTATTCCTGAATCAATGGTGAACGATGTAAAAGTGCACCCTATGGCTTCTCTAAATAAAAGTGCGCATAAGATATAGAAAAAATGTTAGAGAGTGAAAAAATATAAAAACAATTTTGTATTTAAATGATCTTTAAGCGATGATTTAGAGAGTAAGTTATATAAAGTTAGTTGCCAAATTGCAAAGGGTAGACGTAGACCACGCATGTCGCTGCACGTTTGTATTTTTCTGACCGGAGGTGACGGTGAGCAATATGTTATGCTCGCTACTCCTATATCGTATTCGTATCGCAGATACCAAAGCAGAGCTCCAACACTCTGGCACTCTGATCAGCTGTCACCAGCGATCCGCACGTCGCAGCAGCAAGATTCCAAGATATCGCGGGGGAAGCAAGAGCAAGAGGAGTCAACGCACGAATGGCGGGCACGGCGTCGTCGCTAGCGGCGGGCTACGGCTCCGACGGCGTGTACCGCTCGCCGCGCGCGGCGGCGCCCATCGCCTCCGAGCCGGGCCTCTCCCTCGCGGACCTCGTCCTGCGCCGCGCCGCTGCGTGCCCCTCCGCGCCCGCGCTCGTGGACGCCGCGACGGGCTGCGCGCTCACCTTCGGGTCCCTCCGGTCCGCGGTGCTCGTCGCGGCCGCCGCGCTCTCCTCCCGCGCGGGCGTCCGCCGCGGCGACGCCGTGCTGCTCCTCGCGCCCAATAGCGTGCTCTACCCGGTCTGCTTCCTCGCCGTCACCGCACTCGGCGCCGTCGCGACCACGGCTAACCCGCTCTACACCCCGCCGGAGATCGCCAAGCAGGCCGCCGACGCCCGCGCCAGGCTCGTCGTCACCGTCTCCGACTTCTTGCCCAAGATCGCCGGCCTCCGCCTCCCCACCATCCTCCTCGACGGCGGCGACGGCGACGGCGCCTCCGTGCCTTCGGACTGCCGCCCCAGCGGTAACGTCACTCTCTACTCGGACCTCGTCTCCGGGGTGCAGGAGGCGGAGTACCGGCGCCCGCCGGCAGTCGGGCAGGGCGACACGGCGGCGCTGTTCTACTCGTCGGGCACGACCGGGGAGAGCAAGGGCGTGGTGCTCACGCACCGCAACTTCATCACGGCGGCGACGATGGTGACGTCGGACCAGGACGAGCTCGGGGAAGGCCGCAACGTGTTCCTCTGCTTCCTGCCCATGTGCCACATCTTCGGCATGGCCGTGGTCACCCTCGGCCAGCTGCAGCGCGGCAACGCCGTCGTCGTCATGGCCGGGTTCGACGTCGACGCCGTGCTGGCCGCCGTCGAGCGGCACCGCGTCACGTACCTCTTCGGCGCGCCGCCCGCGATGGTCGCGCTCGCCAAGCATGGCGGGGGCGGCAGGTACGACCTCAGCTCGCTCAGGTGCATCGGCTCCGGCGCCGCGCCGCTCGGCAAGGACGTCATGCTGGCTATGGCTGACAGATTCCCCGGTGCTGACATTATCCAGGTGGGTTAGCATGTGGCATCGTGCAACATTAAATGCTTATTAAGCAGATAGGATAGGAGTACGTAATGTGATGATCTTTTTTTCGAACCGGACACATCACATTATGATCCTAACATTATGAGAACCGTTGACACCGTAGCCTGTGCACATGGTCCCACGAGCTGACATCCTGGCGTGTGCATCTACAACTGTTTTTTTCTGGGGGGAGGTGGGGGAGAGGGCGAAATTTGAACCCGTTCGATTGCAGTTTCTTTTACCTAAAACAAGTGAATTTCTAGCATTCGGAATTTGTCTCAAAATAAATGTACTTTTAGATATAATAGTCCACCTAGTGCTAGTAGGGTTTTCCTCTACTTTCAAAGGGCAATCATTATATGCTGAAATAACTTTTGATATGGATAAATATGTAATTTCCATATAGCATTCTCAAGAATAGAAGAGAGAGAGAGAGAGTACTAGTACTACTTTTTCTTTTATTAGGCTCAATGTGGCATATTTTGACTTGCTACTTTGGAACTGATGCTAGGTTTTGGTATGCTCACCTGTGATTCTCAAGAATTGAATGGTGTGCTCACCTGTGATTGTAAAGAACAATGGTAACATTGATCATTTGATCTGGCATGCTAATGAGCTGCGCAAGCCCTGTATTTAGAATTGTGACAGGTTTAGGTGATTACTATAAAACAGCACAATGATAACTGTGTTGAACATGTAGTATTTGTTGGAGTGCATCCTGTAGTGTTATCTTCAGACCAGACATATAATACTCCCTATGCTGTTCAAAATGCTGAAAATGTTTACTTTTTTTGCGAGAAAAAAAGTATAGTTGTAGTTTTGCTGCCATTCTTTTGGATCAAGAGTCATGATTACAATGATAGCTACCTATAAACTCAGGGGTGCTCCTCTTGGAGGGTTATGGTATGACTGAAACCTGCGGGATTATATCCCTGGAGTACCTGTAAAAGGGCCGTGCCCGTCGGTTTGGTTAAACTGGAGCACTTGTCACCGGAGTTGAAGCAAAGATTGTTGATGCAAAGACAATGAAGCATCTGCCTCCGAACCAACTAGGAGAAATCTGTGTTCGAGGACCAAACATAATGGAAGGTAAATTTGAATTGTGGTCTGTGTAAATTTAAAATTTTAAACCTGTCATTTATGATCAGAAGGGGAGCTGTATTCACTAAATATAACATCAATTTCTTGGTCAACTATTTACAAATTAAAATACCGAGCTCACTCAAATGATATTGCACTGAAACCACATCAATTGTCAGTAGTATTATTTTTTGGCATTGCAATTGTTTATCGAGAATTAGGATATGCCAATTGCTAATGACTGACATGGTTTGAAAGGAAAAGGTAGCTAGTGTTTTAGATCAAGATGCCCCATCTGTTAGATAGATCAAGATGCTCCATCTATTAGATATGTATAGCCATGTGCTATACATATCTAATACCACCTCCTACAAAGTTCCCTGTCATGAGCTATGTGCATATCTACAATGTTTCTCACCGACAACAGGCCCAAACGTCAACTTCTCTTTACTTATTTAATTGGGGAAATTGTTGATAGGTTATTTCAACAATGTGCAAGCCACTGAGTTTACAATCAAGCATGGGTGGTTGCATACTGGTGATCTTGGATACTTTGATGAAAGAGGCCAGCTTCATGTCGTGGATAGACTTAAAGAGCTGATTAAGTACAAGGGCTTCCAGGTAAAGAATTTCAGTTTTTTTTCCTGGAAATTCTTTTCAGTTTTAGCAACCCTTTTCTTATAATCATGTGAGGGAAAATTAGTTTCCCCTCCTCGTACCAGAAATTTTCAAGTGAAGCAGAATGTCCGTAGACCCATTTTTTCAGTAGGAACTTTATATGTTCCTTTATTTACTGGCAGATTGCTCCTGCTGAGCTTGAAGGACTGCTTTTGTCTCATCCAGAAATTCATGATGCTGCTGTTATCCCGTAAGCTGAACAACTTAGATTCTAGTTTTTGTAGCTTCTTGTAAGATAAAAAAATACCTTCAATTCTTTTGTTTTCTTGTCTCTTATTTTGGAAATCTACTTTCTCCAAGGTATCCTGATCCTGAAGCAGGGGAAGTTCCTATCGCCTATGTTGTACGATCACCAAAGAGTTCACTGCCTGAAGTTGATGTCCAGAAATTTATTGAGAAGCAGGTGATGTTGGCTAGTAGAAGCCAAGCTTAGTTGTGACCAGCAACTAGTTTTACTATAGTAAAAAGACCATAGTATCTCTCTCACTAATAGAATGAACCATTTGTAATTCCTGAATGGACAATGTTCTGTACTCCTGCATCAACTGAATATATGACCCTTCTAATAACACCGTAATGACTTTGGGTGAACTACATTTCAGGTCGCGCACTACAAGAGACTGAGGAAGGTGACGTTTGTGGACAGTGTACCGAAATCTGCTGCGGGAAAGATTTTGAGAAGAGAGCTCATCGCCCAAGTCGGATCATCCAAGCTGTAGCAAATTGATCTTCTCAATTTCATTTCAGTGCTTGTCTAGATGCAATAAAGGTTTATCTATCAAGTACTGTCAGGAACCACACATTCAGTCTAGACATGCCAGACACTTGAGTTTTTTTAAAAAAAATGAAGGAATAAAGCATTCTGGTTTCTAATATCCATGGACGAATGAGTATAGCGGTATGCTAGACACTAGGTGCAGGCCGTGGATGTTGTAGGCAAGTATGAATGCAAGTGGGTTTGTTGCCGAACCCGCAAGTATGCTTTTTTAAACACAAACCCGCTCCAAATGATTTATTTGTGGGTTTGCAGATCGAATACTCGAATCCCTATAGGATACTGAATTACTGATATATTGGAAGAGCAATCAAGCCTGTGTGAGATTAACGCAAGAATCAAAACACAGTAATCATAATAATCTTTAAAATATAAGAATGATAAAAGGTCATTCGATACCATGATTTACTGTCAACTAGCAGACGTGGGTTATGTTATCAGTACTCCATCCTTCCTCTCGTAGTTCTTACTCCATTGGACTTTGCCTCATGCGAATCGAGCAGTCCAACGGTGGTCGTCGAACAGTCCGACGGGGCTAGTGCACTTTCAAGGATTTATCTTTTTCCTTATGTGGATTATCTTGGAGGATTATTTGGGCCTTTAACTAGTTTTTTTTTTAAACGCAATGGCAGGAGCTCTGTCTTTCCATTAAGATAGGAAAGAGAGTTTATATACAAGAGCTGTAGAGATCCCCGAGCAGGACAAGGGGTAAAGAGGTGAAAAAAATTGTACAGTCATCTAGGACGATTACTCTCCCAAGAATGAGCCATCTTGTTCTGAAGGATGTCCTCTTTCGTTCTTGAGGCCACCTGCATTGCCGTTTCGTGGGTGTTTGTGAATATTTTTCTATTTCTCTCTTTTCAAATGTTCCAAACGGTGTAGATTACCAAGCCGTTGAAGCACTTTCTGCCGTCCTTGGTTATCTTGGATTGGACCTCTTCCCACCACGAGATCAAATGGGTTAGATCTTCGGCCGGGAGGATTATGCTCGCATCGAAGTGTTCCCAATGTAGAATGAGATTCCATACTGCTCTGGTGAACAGACAAAGCAAGGCTAAGTGGAGGCATGTTTCCAACGGGCCGTTGCAAAGGACGCATCGGACTTGGTGTGGCCAACCTCTCTTTTGTAGATTATCCGCAGTGAGGATTTTCTCTCGCGCCATGGTCCAGACGAATAGTTTGCACTTGTTTTCAGTCAATGCTTTCCATATGAGATCACTCCGAAATGCTCTGTACGAACCGCAGAATTGTATTCTGTAGGCCGATCGGGTGGAATAGGCTCCGTTGGCTGTCCATTTCCAGGTAATGGTGTCTGGAGTGCCCAGCGTTAGGTGGATATCTTGCAACCTGATCCATAACGAGATGAATTCCTCCACCTGCGATGCTGTAGTGATCTGGCCCCTCAGAGCGGCGACCCAGCCATTGTTACGGAGCTCAAGATGGATTGACCTATTTTTACATCTCACTAATTCAAATAAACTGGGCGCAAGATGCTTTGGAGCCTCACCGTCCAGCCAGCTGTCATGCCAGAAGCGAGCTTTTTGCCCATCACCAATTGTGACTCTCGTAGATGCATTGAAAAGTGCCCGATCTAGATCGTTGCAGGGAAGCTCCATTCCAGCCCAAGGTTTAGAAGTGTCCACCCAATCCTGCCACAGCCATCTTAAGCGCAATGCCCTGCTGAACTTGTTAAGGTCAGGTATTCTAAGTCCCCCGAGGTCCTTTGGCCTAGTTACTGTCGGCCAATTAACAAGGCAGTGCCCCCCATTGGCATTTTCCTCTCCTTTCCAGAGAAAGGACCTTCTAATTTTGTCGATGCTTTTTCGAGCCCAAGCCGCCAATGGGAATACCGTTAGATGATAAGTTGGCATTGCTGAGAGAACGGATGAAATCAGGGCGAGGCGACCGGCTCTGTTGAGCCATTTTCCTTTCCATCCAGGCAATCTTTGGCCGATCCACTCGATGAGCGGCTGAACGTGTACCTTCTGTAACGAACGCGTGTGGAGCTGCAGGCCAAGGTAACGGCAAGGGAAAGAGCCCCTGATCCCTGCAAAGGGGGTTAGAACATGGTCTAGATCTATCTCGTCGCATCTGATCGGGTGAACGGAGCTCTTTTCCAAATTTATGTGGAGGCCCGATGTATTCCCAAAGGCCTGGAGAATCACCTTGATCGCATCTATGTCTTCCTTTCGAGGGTTTATAAAAATAGCCGCGTCATCTGCGTATAGGGAGGTTCTCCATCTGGCCATGGATGAGGGGACTGGGGAGAGGGCGCCCATCTGAGTAGCGAATTCAAGAATACGCTGGAGTGGATCCATGGCGAGGATGAAAAGCATCGGCGATAATGGGTTGCCTTGGCGAACCCCCTGGCGTGGTGGAAGGTCGGTCCTAGCAGGCCGTTGAGCAGCACCCTCGACGTGGCTGTGCGAAAAAGGATGGATACCCATTCACACCATCGTGGGCCGAAGCCAAGAGCGCGTAGGACCTCCAGCAGGTAGCTCTAGTTCACCGTGTCAAAAGCCTTGTGGATATCGAGCTTCATGAAAAGTGTGGGCATCTTTTCCTTGTGCATTTTTCTCACCATTGACTGTACATATAGGAAGTTGTCATGAATACTTCTTTTCTTGATGAACGCACTTTGGCACTTGGAGACCAAGGAGTTGAGGTGGGGGCGAGTCTGTTGGCCAGGAGTTTTGCAAAAAAATTTGCAAAGCTATGCATGAGGCTAATTGGCCTGTAGTCCGTGATTCTCAAGGCGTCTGTCTTTTTTGGAAGCAAGACGATGTTTGCCGAATTCATTAACTCGAAGCCTTGGGAATGCAGTTGGAAGAGATTGTTGATCGCAGCCAATAAGTCGTCTTTGATTATCTCCCAGCATGCCTTGAAGAAGGCCCCCGTGAAGCCATCGGGCCCGGGGCTTTCTCGGATGGCATCTCGAGGACAGTACGCCGGACTTCGTCCTGAGTGAATGGTAGCTCCAGCTGCTGTAGGTTTCTTGGAGTATAGCCCAGCGCCCGCCAATTTAAGGACAAGGTCCTTGCTGTAGAGGTGCCCAAGTGCTCGCTGAAATAATCCCCGACCACTTTTTCTTTTTCATCCTGGGAGAAGACTAACCCACCCTCTTTTTGTAGACAGTGAATGTAATTTTTTCTCCGGCGTGCATTGGCTTTCATGTGAAATTTTTTTGTGTTGGCGTCACCACTGCGGATATAGGTAAGCCTGGACCTCTGCCTCATCCGTGACTTCTCAATTACAGCCAGGCCGGTGCTGCGGGCTTTTAAGCGTTTCCTAAGTTCGTTCTCCTGATCTGAGAGTGGCCTGAGTTCTTGTGCCATTTCTAGCTGAAGGAGGACCTCTTTGGTGATGGTTAGCTGGAGTCTTGTGTTTCCTATTTTCTCTTTCCACCATTTCTTCAGGCCCTTTGCAAGTCTAGCCATTTTGATGTGTAAACGCTTGATGGGTAGCATGGTGTTGAGTGGTTTCCCCCATTCAGTTTGCACCACTTCGTGGAAGCCTTCCATCTTGGTCCAGAAATTTTCGAACCGGAAGAAATTGTTGTTGAAATGATCAAGTGCGCCGTGGAGTAGCAGTGGTGTGTGGTCTGACATGAGAGATGGGAGGGAGTGGAGAAAGCACGATGGGAAGAGCAGCTCCCAATCTGGAGTGCAAAGAAGTCTGTCAATCCTAGTCATTGTGGGGTTGGTTTGCTCATTGGTCCAGGTGAAATGGCGGTCGTTTAGCTTAATCTCTTTGAGCCCCAAATCATCAATTGTCACCTTGAAGGAGCCCATGGGGCGGCGGTTGAGATTTGTGTTATTCTTATCTTCCGCCTGGTAGATCAAATTAAAATCTCCAAGGATAAGCCACCGCTGATGACTGGGCGCGGGGATGTTTTTGAGCTCCTGCAGGAAAAGGATCTTATCATCATCCCTTTGAGGCCCATAAATAACTGTGATCTGCCATTGAGTGTTGGTGGCCCTCATGGTTATAGTTGCTGTGATTGCATGCATGGTCAGAAGGACGTTGGATAGTTCGAAGTACTTTTCATTGACTGCCAGCAGGATGCCCCCTCTCGTCTGAACAGCTGGTAGTACAGCGAAAGAATTCACGAAGCATTGTCCAACCGTCCGGGTTACTATGTGTGCGTCGAGCTGCTGCAGTTTGGTCTCTTGCAGGCATACTATGGTAGCGCCGGTATCTCTAACTAGCTCACTGACAGCGTCGCGCCTTGCATTGTCATTAAGTCCCCTTACATTCCAATTTAGCAGCTTGCAGTTTCTTTGAGCCATAAAAACAGAACGTGGAACCCTTTGGTGTGCTTAAGAATCTGCGTGCAAGTGACCAAGCAGGGCAGCGAACATCCTGTGCAACACTGCAGTAGGTGACCAGGCTTCAGGCAGGCCGACCAGCAAGCCAAACGACAAGAAGAGGGAGCACACGAAGATGCAACAACTGAAGTTAAACGCCGCTTTAGCGGGCAGATGCAGTAGCCGAAATGATCAGGTCCGGCGACACTGAAGGGGATTGCGACACAAACCGAATGGCGACACTTGCTGCTTCGAAAGCAAAAGAACGCTGACCATGGCAGAGGTGTTTGAAGGCCCCTGGCTAACATCCTGCATGGTCGGCTGATACAGGCATCGCTGGGATCAGCTCGATGCAGCAAGCAGTGAAGACAAAATACGACGACTAACATGATCAACCAAGTAGTTCTCGGTGTGGACGACACTCTTTTAAGCCTGAGGAAGCTCCAGCGCTGGAATGTCCTCCAGGCCACACAGGGCTGTGATGACGGAGTCATTCAGAGGCCCCTAGAATAGCTGGATGTATTGCAGGAACCGGTCGTCGGTGCCGGGGACGTCTTCTTCTTCCTCCAGCACTCCAAGGCGCTTCATGAGAATCTGTCGAGCGCATTAGACGGTGTTGCCCCTGGGCCAGGATCTGGTGGCGATGCAGACGCTTTGACGATATCCCTGACGAGGCAGGTGTGTCTTGCAGCGGCGGCGCGCATCCTTCTTGGCGGCTGGGATCTGCAGCAGGGCCGGAGTCACCGAGCGCGAGACGGAGGCCAGGAACATCTCCGCAGTCCTACCACCGTCCGTCCCCTGGGGTGCTGCGACGCAGCCCGGCGTGTCCTGGTGCAGCCGGGTCCGCGTGCCCTGCGGCTGAAGACACGTCCTGTCCCTCTCCATCTCTTGGGATGCTGGGGGCGTCGTGATGGGCTGTGCGATGCAGCCCCCATGTGTCTTGGCGTTGCCAGGCCCCCGGGGCCTGTGCGTGAAGAACAGGCCCGACTTGAAACGGATTGCTGACGGTGCATGCGTCTGCGCCTGTCCAGGCTAGGGCGAGATCAGTCGTGGAGTTGCCCCTTCCTTCTCAGCCTGATGTTGCTCCGTGCGAGACGTAAGAGGGTCAGGAGAAGGCGTGGTTCATGCGGCGGAGAGGCGGGGCGCAGCCGGCGGGCTCAGGGAGCGGTCGTCGCCGTCGCAGGTGCTGCTGGGTAGGCACCTTGCATCGCAGTGTCGAGGAGAGTCTGTGGGCAGAGCCTGGTCGGTGGCCCTGGCTGGCGAACGCTGCACGTGTTCGCTTCGGCGTCGGCTGCTGCGCTCTAGACTACGCCCTTGATCCTTGCGTGCAGTAGCCGGTGGAGGCTCTGCAGCGACGGTCGCCGCAGCAAGATCCTTCACCAGGGGCTTGTTCACCTCGGGCGTCTTGCTGATGCAGGAAGGAGCCCCTGGCTATGAGGCACGTGGGGGGAAGGCGGCGGCAGCTTGGCGGCGCCATCCTCCCGTCGAAGAAGAGGCATCGTATCGACGGCTGTGGCGTGACTCTGAACATTCCTGCTCCCTGCTCTTGTCTAGCGCGCGGGAGAGGCTACGGAACATCCTGGCTCCCCAGCCATTCCTCTTGTCGCTGCGGCGTCCGCGCCCGTCATCATCGTCGTCGTCGCGGCGCCGGTCACGCCTGGCATCAGACTGGGGATCGTGGCGCTCGCGCGGGGCACGTTCCCCGTCAACGACGCTATAGTGCCAGTCGATCTTCCTCGGGGTGGAGTTGTCGTACTCGTCCGGTGGGGGCTCCACGGTGTCAAGGTGGACCAGCACCTTGAAGGTGAGGCCACTACGTCCTCGTGGTGGAGCAACTCCTTCATGTACCGTCGCCGAGCTTCCTGTCAGTGTAAGCCAAGATACCTTTGGGATGTCAGAGGGGTCGTATGTCCACGCCCAAAGGCAGAGTGCTCTGGTGTCGTCGCGGCGTTTGGAGCGCGCTTCCACGTAGTCGATGTCGCAGGCCCTTGCAATGGCCCTCTTCACGATGCTCTCGTTCCAGGCATGCGCCGGGATCCTCTCGAGGCAGATGCGGACGTGGTGGCGCAGCTGGATGAGGTTGCTGTAGGGGAGGATGCGCCATGGCAAGATGTGGATGACGATGTTGCCGACTTGGGGCCGCTGCAGTTCCAGAGCCGCGTTGCGGTGGTGCTGATGTTCGAAGACGATGAGGAAGTCCTCTGGTCGGTGGCGCGTCACCTTGATGTCGTTGTCCAGGACGCCGAGCTTGGAGCAGAGCATCCGCTTGACCGCCTCTGGCTCGACGTCGTCCCGCTCCCTGCACAGACAGGCCACAACAGCACAGGCAGACAGTCGCTGCAGCTCTTCCTCCATGGCGGAATTGGTGGCCGCCATTGCCGCGCTCTTCCTCCATGGCGGAATTGGTGGCCTTTAACTACTAGTAGTAGTAAGATTGGTAGTTGTGTAAGGATCGTTTTGTCCTTAAAAACATTCTAAACTAGATACGTATATAAAGTTGGAACATCTCGTTAATTAAATGTATTAATTTGAAAAATTATATGCCAAAGCATCCCATTGATGGACGAGTACTAAAAGAAATTATAACTGGAACAGAAGAAAACCAAACTGTTGGGATCATTGTCACCGAGGAGTACAAATTAGTAGCATTGCCAGCTTTTGACAAACATCCATTATCTCAAGCTTCGTCAAAAACAAGATTACAATAGAGATGTCACAAACTCCACCGGTTCACCTTCACATGTTTATACCATTTTGTTCCCTTTGGAGCCAGGTTACCATCAGTTGCTTTGAAGCCCTTAGCTTGTGTCTGCCTTTCTTGTAAACAATCTACAAGTCGCCGCTACAAAGACATAAATTTTATCATAGAACTTGTCGAGTAGGAGAAAATATGCAATCCTCCCGGTTTTCTGGAATAGTAGCGTAACAAACACCACCCAAAGACCAACTACATATCCGATGCCAAGTCCGAAGGACATTGACTTGGAATAGTGTTCATCATCTCCATGAACAGGTATATTATTGCTTGGACAAGTCTGTTGGAGAGGAGGCCCACACAGACCCTTGTTTCCATCATACATAGAGGGCATATAACTGTAGAGAGTGTCAAGTTGACCTCCTGATGGTATTCTTCCTGACAGATTGTTATTAGACAAGTCCAAAACGCTCAAATGTGCCAAAATTGATATGCTTGATGGGATTTCTCCTGAAACATGGTTGCTGGAGAGGTCAAGTGACTCCAACCACAGCATGGCCCCAATCTGGTCAGAAATTTCTCCATCCAATTGGTTATGAGACAAGTTCAGATTTACCAATCCTCCAAGAGATGTCATTTCTTCTGGAATTTTACCATGTAAATATTTTGATGACAAGTCAATGCTCAGTAACTCCAAAATGACAGCACCATGGTAATTCAGTTTTTGCCTCTTTATGTCTATTGACAAATCACCAACTGTATTTTGGAACCCAGCGGGAACCGTGTAAGGATCCAGTGCAAACGTTCTTGTCAGAGATGTGAGATTTGACAGATGTTGAGGTATGGCTCCTGATATCCAGTTGTCTGCAAGATTCAGATGATAAAGTTTTGTGAGACTTGTGATATTATTTGGAATATTCCCATGGAACATGTTGTGATTCAGTCGTAAGAACTGCAACGACCTGCAACTCCCAATCCACTCTGGTACTGCTCCAGTGAATCGATTCCAAGCCAGATCTAGAAAGATAGATTTGTGCATCTTCGTACGAATGGTGGGAAGCTGCCAGAGAAGCTATTGTTACCTAATAACAGATATGCCATTTGTGTCATATTCAAACATTGAGGAAACTCTCCTTCGAAAAGATTATTGGCCAAATCCAAGCCCCACAGGCTGAGCTCGCAGATAGATGTTGGGATCTGACCACTCAAATAATTAGAATACAGTATGATGGTATCTAGGTTTGGGGCTCCAAATTTCGTTGGCAATGGTCCTGATAAAGAGTTATTTGATATATCCATAAAGTTCAGGCTTCTAGGCAATGGAGGAATTTGACTGGTCAGGTTGTTTGAGCTGGAATAGAGTGCTTCCAATGACATAATATCCATATTTTTTGGCAAGCCACCACTAATTTGATTATTGGAGATATCCAGATATGTTACCTTAGAAAATGTATTAGAAAACCAATCTGGAAGCCTATCATTTATACTTGCGTTCGAGATATCAAGCCGATGAAGATTCACTCGCAGTTTCAACCATGCTGGAAACAGAGGACCGATTTCGCAACCTTTAAAATATGATCTAAGCTTATTCTGAATCGACCATAATCTTCAAGTTGGTATAAGACAAGTCAATGTGATCTAAGCTCTTCAAACTGTCCAGGTGTTCTTCCGTGACCAAGCCATCCAACAAGTAATTCTGTGTTAGATCCAGACTAATCAACTTAGCTAACCTACTTATCTCAGATGGCAAATGTCCACTAAGGTGGTTGACACCCAGGTTAAGGGTCCTCAGATTTGTCAAATTCCCCATAAATGCCGGAAAAGGCCCAGTGATGTTGTTCGAACCAAGATCGAGGTTCCACAACAGAGGTAGATGTGTCAACCACCAGAGATCAGTGGAGTGCATCTGCACTCCAGCGTCTAAGAGATGGAGTTCCTCCAGCTTTGAGAGGTTCCCAAGCTGGGGAGGCACACTGCCGGAAAATGGTACGAGAGAGAGGTCTAGATATCTTAGGCTCTGGAGAGAGCCTAAGAACTCAGGAATTTTGCCGGTCCGGCCCTGGAGGCTATTCCCGCTGAGATCGAGAAACTCCAGATGCTGCGGAGAGAGCAGAGAAGGATTTATCTCGCCGGTCAGACCAGCGGTGGCTCCATGAAAAATTTTAGGGACCTTTACTCGATCTTAAGTCTCAGTCTCCGTTGCATCCGCCCCTGGGTCAGACCACCACTGCCACGGGAGTCGCCAAGGTGCAGCTCGACGACATGGCCCCCCGTGAGGTTGCTGCAGTGGACGTAATCCCATTGGCAGCAGTCGTCGTCCTCGTCTGGCTGCCATGCCTCGAGCATGCGGTCGTGGTCGATGGTGATGGCTTTCTTGAATTCAAGGAGGGCCTCCTTCTCCTTGGGCACACAGGCATCGACTCAGCCGACGCTGGTGAACCAAGAGGAAGCGGCAGCAGCTACTAGGATAACGAGGAGCAGGAAATCGGAGGTGGACACGTTTTAGGACAATTTTCAGGTGACTGACATGTACTACTAGCTCTCATCATCAGCCGTTGTTTAAAAACAGAAGAAGCACCGTGCCGGTTCCAATATAAGACAAGGCCCTGATGCTAGGCGTGGCGCCAGTGTGAAAGAATTTTCTTTCCTTCTCTGCACATGGCATGGCGGCCACTGCTGCATGGGCCGGTGTGCGGGAACGAGATCCTCTGCAGTCGGCCTGGCTGACTGTTTTCTGCAGTCACAAATCTGTCCCGTCCATTTTTCATCCAATGGTGACGAGGCTTCAAAACTTCACGCTGGATAAGCACAGACAACACTCGGTCCATCTCAGCCCAAGACGACTTCGCCTTCGTCTTCCTCATTTTCAGCCGGCCCTTTGCGGGGTGCGCACGCGGCGAGCGGGGTGGCCGCTGGCCGGCACGGGGCCGCGGTTGTGTAGGAAGACGACAGCCTGTTCCTTGAGTCACTGTGCGCACTCGGCGCGGTCACCGCGGTCTAGTGTGCGCGCGAGCGATTGCGGGCGGAGCTCCAGTGCCCCGAACGGCGGCGAGGACACCAGGGGTCGATGGATTTTTTGGCTGCGCGTCAGCTGTCGATGTGCGGCGAAACGCTCACCCTCAGGCCACAGCATACGCATTGACAAGCTCTCCACAACCTCCACAGACGAGCTCAAAGCTCCAGGAGACTGTAGTGAGGGGGCCGGTGATCTACATTCACGTTTGCTGCTAGCCGTGCTTGTGCCATTATAAGAGGATGAGTAGATGTATTTATGTATTTTAGAAATTATTTTCAAGGGGAAAAGGGAGTATATGACATATTCATTATGTCATGGTGACGTCATCAAGCTAGTGGCATAACAGAGCACGCGGCGGCCACGGCTGAGTCGCGCTCGGCCCAGCGTCGTGCGTCTACAAAGCCACAAAGGCAACCAAAGCACCCTCAACAAGTTGCAGACAGCGTCATTGCTGGGAACATTGAATCCTGAGGCCGGCGACGAGGTGAAGGAGGCTGATGCTAGAGCCTGGAGCACTGTGGCGAGGAGAGAGACAGACGGCATGTCGGCATCGGGCTCATCAGCGGTGTGGGAGACAATGGTGGAGGGGAAAGAGATTGAAGACGAGTGCGATGTTTGGGCTGAGATGGGCCACTGGAACGGCCTGCTAGATGAGTTTAGTTGGGGTCACCGTTGGATCACGAGGAACGTCTCCGATGCGCCGACTGCAGAGATAAGTCGCTCTGTGCGACTGCAGACGATCTCATTCCGGTGTGCGTGACTGAGAACCTGCCTCGTCGTGAGGTGGACTAAGGCCTTCCACAGCATGTCGCCTAAGTGATGCCAGGAGATAAAAGAGAAAATTTAGGAGTCACTCAATACACTGCAGGAGGAGATTGCAACTTCTAGTGGTGCCTGAAAAAGTGGAAGCGAGGCAAGTAGTTGCGTCGCTGCTTGATTGATTAAAAAATATTAATCTTTGTACATGAATGGCAAAACCTCCGTGCGTCCGTCCTATTTAAACTAGCACAAACACTATTTTATTTGAACATCTACTGTTTGAGGCAGCACACAAGAGATAGCTTCGGTTCCTCACACTGCAGCCATAAAGTACTCGATGCCTGATACTGTTTGCACGACGTACCTTTTTTATGGCATCACTCGCCCATTGTGGAGGGTCTAAACGAACTCCACCGCTGAAAGGTCCTAATATGACTAGAGGGGGGGTGAATAGCCTATTTAGAATTCTACAAGACAACTAGAGCAATTTGATTAGTAAGACAAATAGTAAAATGCAAACTTGCTCTAGCTCTACAAGGGTTGCAAGCCACCTATCCAACAATTCTAGTTGCAATGATCTATTGGCACACAATCTACTTGACCACTACTCACTAAGAGCTCTCACAAATGCTACACTAAAGAGCTCCACTAGTATGTTTAAAGCACAAGGCAAGCTCTCAATTCTAATTACACTAAAGAGCTTGCTATATCTAGTTTGCGGAAATGTAAATGAGTAAGTGAGACGATTATACCGCCGGGTCGTGGAGTGAACCAATTACAAGATGAATATATAGCCAGTCACCGGGAGAATGCAAATGACAAGAGACAACCAATTTTTCTCCCGAGGTTCACGTGCTTGCCAACACGCTAGTCCTCGTTGTGTCGACCAACACTTGGTGGTTCGGC